TATATATATATATATATATATATGGAAAGGCAAATGTTTTAACTCAAAATAGATATGTAATCTTTTTTAACTTTTACCAATGTCCAAACCGACCTAAACCGATTTGGTTTGGTTCAATTTCAATGATTGGATTAGGTCAGTTTGGGTTGAAATTTATCTAAACCGATTAAGTCGGTTTCGGTTATGGGTTGGACTCAAAACTAAACCAACCCGAACCATGCCCAGGCCTACCATATGGTCTTCGCATTATGGGGTCGATTCAACTTTGTTTCGCTGGGGAAGAATGGGTCGTCCACACTCGAAGGTCAATCCAGCTTTACCTTATGTTAGTGTATAGGGCGTGAGATCACCAAACCGTTTGCCACGTTGGAGGGTTAAGTCCACGTGGGAGCCCTTGTGTAGAGATGCGTAACAACAGTCCCCTAAGTCCAGGTATGATTATTTATATAATCCGTCGACTCTTGAGTTTGGAGGTGAAGAGAGGATGTGGTCGCACCAATAGCTCGAGTTTGAAGAATCAGGGGCATCATTTGAGAAGGGCTAACCACTTTGATGAAGTTGAAACTTGTAGTAAGGTGTAATCTTGCAAGGCAATGTCCTTGTTGCAAAGGATGAGCCACTTTGATGAAGCTGAAGCCTAAGGTAAGGCGTAATCTTATGAGGTGATTCCCTTTTTGCAAAGGACGAGTTGCTTTGATGGAGCTGAAGCCTCTGGTAAGGCGTAATCTAGCGAGGCGATGCCCTTGTTGCAAAGAGCGAGCCGCTTTGATGAAGTTGAAAGCCTGTGAAAAGGCGTAATCTTGCAAGGCGATGCCCTTGTTGCAAAGGGCGAGTTGCTTTGATGAAGTTGTACACTGGATGGTGTGCTCTAATGATTTGAAAGAAGTATTATTACCTTAGGAAAAATAGCTGGGTGTTTATAACAGTTTCCAAAGTTCACATTGCGTGTGAATTTCATGCAAAATGATGACGGTCTGTTACAGTTGGTGCAGATCACTTGAGTCTAGGGCTCGTGTGGGTTACGACTTCATCTGAGCCCTTTATTTGAATTTTGAACAGGCGTCTTTTGGTTTTAACGTGTCGGATGGGATTGCAATTGTAAGACTAACATTGCAGTGAAGGTTGATCCAGCGGTGGGTTTCAACTTTCCTGCATATATAAAAGGCTAAAGCCCCACCTTCTCTTTCTTTTTTAGAAAATTTAAAACCTACAAGTGTTGAAAATTCCTTGAGATTCTGGAGCACCTCATCCGCCTTTTCCGGCAACAATCTCCGTTTTCTTCCTTTTCGGTGACGGATATTTGTGTAAGTATCCAACATTTTCACATATCCTCCCTTAATCACTTAAAATGGCCTTTTCTTCTAGAAAAAATGTGGCAAAAAAGTCCCCTAGGGGTGTTGATATGGCACTAATTTGTGCCGAGGTGGGTGTGCCTCCCGTGATTCCTACTAATAGGATTATGTAGGCCATAGGGGGCCCTCACAGTGTGTGGATGATGCAAGAGGCCCCCATAGATTATAGTATTATGTGGGGCCTCTTTGTGGGCGAGCGACATTCAAAAAAGCAAGCTAGAAGCCTCAGGGAGAGGTATAGGATTCCTGACACTATAGAAATGTTTGTTCCAACCCCTAAGGAGAGGGGTTGTTTCCCAGGGATAGGTGTGAGGCAGTGAGTAAGGCGATTTTGAGTGGGGGATGAAGCTGCCTTTGCACCCCTTCTTTAGGTACATCCTTAGGCACTATAACCTAACCCCTACCCAACTAGTGCCAAATCCATGGAGCCAACTAGCAGGGGCATTTCTTCTTTGGAAGGAGGTCACTCTTGGCGAGGACATGCCTCTCCATATTTTCCAAACCCCTTTTCAGCCTCGAACCTCTAGTGGGGGGAGTAAGTGGTGGTATTGTATGAAACCATGGGGCTCGCATTCTCCTTTCATCTGGGGAACTCCGACTATTAAGAACTCGAAGTCTTTATGGTTCTGGATTAAGGGTCGCGGTAAATAGTGGAGGGAGATGCGGTCCTGCAGATAATCATGCCGACTCAATACCATGAGTATAGTGAGTCTAGCCTTGGTTTAGATAATTTTGTTTTATGCCTCTTCATTCCTTCTTATTTCCTGCTTCTAATTGTGCGCTTTGTGCAGCTGCAGTTGACCTGTTCGAGCTCGAGCCTTCTGAGTGGGCGATTATCAAGGCAATTTAGGAGCTACCCTCAGAGAAGAGGTATTTTAAAAATGTTCTTGGAAAGACAAACCTCTTCGTCATAGATCAACTGATGGCTACCAAAGGTAAAAACGGCCTCTAGCTATTTATTTTAGTGATTTCTACTGAGTTTTTAGGATAGCTGCTAATAGGTCTGCCTTTTGTTTGTAGGTCATCATGACAAGAAAGAATATGTCGAGTCGAACATGTTCTTTATGAGGTGCCTAGGAGAGGCAAAAAATAAAAAGGCCCTGAGCTCCACTTCTTCAACCTACAAGAATTGGCGGGATGAGCTAGCCCGCCTCCTCTCCCAGAGAAGAAAAATGAAAAAGGGAAAGATAAAGTTGAACTGTCTGCAGAGCGACCTTAGAAGCGAAAACTAGTTCGACAAGGAACACCGAGCTTCCTCCTCCGCCGAAGCGCCGACTACTCTCGGAGAATCACTTTATCTCCTTATTGAGGTAGAGCCCATCTCCTCCGTTAAAATTGTTGATGTGAAGGAGAACGTCAAGGAGGAGGTGAGCCTCGTGAAGTGGAGGCAGGACAGGGAGGCTAGGAGTGTCCCCTCTGAAAGGAGGGCTCGGAACTAGTGGTGGCAAATGGACCGAGCGGCTCTTTAGCTCGACCGCTCGGCTCGTGGGCTGCTTGGGCTCATCAAATGACGAGCCCGAGTATGAGCCGAGTGGGCCAACTCGCTGGATTATGGAAATGCTTCCTGCTGAGGTCCGGGGGCTACGAGAATTTATCAAAAGTATTGGACTGACAAGTACTCCTCGTATGCTGAGACATGTGATGCAGTCGACATGGTGGAGGTCGGCCTCGCCGTGCAGGCTAGTTCTCAGGGCTTCTTTCTAAACGTGCAAATGGAGATGAGGCGACTGCAATGCATCAATAAGGAATATATCGAAAAGGCCAATGATGTATGCAGAGGCAGTCCTTAATAAAGTAAAGGTAGATGCATCTTCTGCCAATGTGGCCATCGAATCCTCCAAGGTAAAGCAAGTTGAGTCGGAATCCAAGATAGAAGCGTTACAAAAAGAAAATGACGACTTGATGAAGGAAGTCCATCTTTGCAAAGCCAATGTGAATGCCATGACGAAGCGAGTAGAGAATTCTGACAATCCTTAGAAGATCGCTTTGTCAGCCTTGGATACTGCTAATAAAGAGAATGTGGAGTTAAAGGTTCGTGCAAATGAGATGACTACTGAGGCATCGACTTGCAACAACAAATGAATGGGGCAGGGGATGCAGTTGTGAATGAATACATTGCTCATTTCCATGAAACAGTTGAGTATGATGGCATTGGTTTATATTGGAGGAGGGTCGCATACAATGAAGTCTTTGGAAGACTTGCTAAGTTGCATCCCCAGTTGGAGCTGGCTGCCTTAAAAGATGAATTCTTTCCAGCCGAACCATCCACTCCTGCTGTCGAGGCTGAAGATTCGGTTGAGGAAGTTGGTGCTCAAGGGGAGCCTCAGCGAGACGACGATGTTAATTAGAATTAGGCTTAATATTCTTGTAACAACTCCTTTGTAATGATTTTGGCTATGTATAGAAATCTTTTCTTTCACTTTTATGTCTGTTTTCGATGTGACTTGAACAAATGATATGGCCTCGTCGTGAATGACAAAACATGAAATCATACAAACTTGCTAAATACGTTTAGGCTCATCATAATTAACAAAGCATGAGTTTATCATACTTGAAATTTGTTGAAGACGTATAGGCTCGTCATAATTAACAAAGCATGAGTTTATCATACTTGAAATTTGCTGAAGACGTATAGGCTCGTCATAATTAATGAAGTTGATAACTACAGGCTTGCCACGGTTTGTCTTGAATAATAATGTATGAGTTTGTCATGGTTGAATAAGGGTTTGCCATAGTTAAACTTGAATGATAATATATGAGCTTGTCATACTTAATTGAATTAATAACATATGGGCTCGTCACAATTAATCTTGAATAATAATAATAATAATAGTAATAATGTCTGAGTCCGTCATAGTTAATTGGATTAATAGCATATGGGCTCATCATAGTTAGCCTTGAAGAATAATGTATGAGCTCGTCATATTTAATTTAATTAGTAACATATGGGCTCGTCATTGTTGACCTTCGAATAATAATGTATGAGATCGTCATACTTAATTGAATTAATAACATATGGTCGCGCTATAGTTAAACTTGAATAATAATGTATGAGCTTGTTATACTTAATTGAATTAATAGCATATGGGCTCGCCACAGTCAACCTTGAATAATAATGTATGAGCTTGTCATAGTTAATTGGATTGATAACATATGGGCTCGCCATAGTTAACCTTGAATAATAATGTATGAGCTCGTCATATTTAATTGAATTAGTAATATATGGGCTCGCCATAGTTAACCTTGAATAATAATATATGAGCTCGACATACTTAATTGAATTAACACATATGGGCTCGTTATAGTTAAATTTGAATAATAATGTATGAATTAAAACATATGCGAATTGCCCATAACACGTGCGGGAGCTCGTCCACCCACGCCCCCTTTGACTCGTCAAGTTTCTTTTTCAAAGGATGCTTGATGGTCTTATTAACTGCCTCAACCTGGCCATTTGCCTGGGGCTGATGAGGGGAAGAAAAATGCTTCTTAATTACCAGTTTGTCGCACAGGTCTCTGATCTTTTTGTTCTCAAACTGTCACCCATTGTCTGTTACGAGCGATTGTGGAATTTCGAACCTGCAGATGATATTCTTCCAGATGAACTTGGAAGTGGTCGCTTAAGTTATTTTTGCCAATGGTTCAGTTCCAACCCACTTAATATAGTAATCAATGGCGACAATCGTATAACTCGCACTCTCTTTTCCTTTTGGCATAGGGCCTATCAAATCTACTCCCCACTTAGCAAACGGTCAGGGACTAGATACCACAGTTAACTTTTACGAAGGCTGCCTTTGGATGGATGAAAAATGCTGACATTTGTCACACTTACTCACAAATTGCATCGTATCTTTTTTCAACGTTAGCCAGTGATATCTTTGTCTTAGCACTTTTTGAGCCAGTGCTGCGCCCCCGTGTGGCTGCAACAAACTCCCTCATGAATATCTCGTAGGACATAATTGGCTTCTTCTGCTCTGGTGTATCGCAGGAGTGGGGATGAGAAGCCTCTCTTTTAAAACACTTCTTCCTGGAGCAGATAGTAGGTGGCCCTACGCCTAAGTTTGTGGGCTTTTTCCTTATCCTCTGGCAAAGCTTGATCCTTGAGGTAGGTAATGATAGGTTGCATCCACTGTGAGGTTCCCTTAATCCACATTACCTCATCTTCCTTAGATGTAGAGGGTTTATGTAGGTATTTAACTTACATAATTTTAAGCAACTATGAATCTTTGTTGCTGGCCAATTTTGATAGAGCGTCGGCGTTCATGTTTTCTACCCTTGGAATCTGAGTTAGCTCAAACTTTTCAAAAGATAGGAACAAATCCATCACCTTCTTGAGGTAGGCTGCCATGCCTTTATCCTTAGTGCGAAATTGCCATTAACTTGGTTCACCACCAGTTGTGAGTCGCTGCAAACCGCCAGGTTCTTGACTTGCATCTCTCTTGATAATATGAGGTCCGTTAGAAACACTTCGTACTTGGCTACGTTGTTGGAGGTTTTGAAACCAAACCTCCCTGCACAATTAAGCTTATGTCCTTTTGGACTCTCCAGCACTACTCTGGCTCTGGGGCTCATTTCTCCAGAAGACCCATCAACAAAAAATTTCCAAGCTAGGGGGTCTGCTGGTTCCATCAACACTTTTTTATATCTGTTGCCTCAATGAATTTCGCTATGATGTCTGCCACTATTTGCCTTTTCACCGAGGTTCATCTGAGAGACATACGGGTTTTGTAATTGTTGAGGTGCTTCGTTAGGTCAGCCTTTCCTTCATATTTAGGTATTTTCGATAGTACGAAGTGATTTAGAATGGGGATGCTTCTCAAATCCTAGGGAAAAAGGAGACTTTCGTCATCATCGTCCAACTCAAAAGATCTGCATGGATCGTCTGAATCATTACCCTCAGCTTGGTAACGAGGGGGTCGCGAAGTTTCTGCTTGATTTCTTAAGTTCACAGCATCTTTCATCTCTCGTCTATTTTTAGGAGGGGGAACTCCCTGCGATTCATATCCTCGATCAAGTTCCAGTCCTTTTTTAATAGGGATGGCTGATGAGACCTATTTTTAGGCCTTAATGGTCTGATACTATCAAAAACACCGGCGGACCTCTGGGGTCCACGCTCTTGAGCATATTCTGGAGGGAAGTTGTCCTCATGTGGCACATTATCATCGGGTAGGTTAGTGGCATAGTTTGTGGAACTATCCATTTCCACTTTCCTTTCCATTAGGCTGAGCTCCCTTCTGTGCATTTAAGGGTATGTCCCCATGTCGTTTTTCTCACCTTCTTAGAGAAACATCCCTTGTTGTGGCATTTAATACCCTATTGCTGGTGCATTTGCATGAGTACTTGTTGCATAGTAGCATTCTGCTAGGCCATATTCCTCATGTTTGCGGCCATCACCCCCACTTCCCTGGCTAAGAGTGCGATGGTACCGCCTCGCCTATGCTGGTGATGGGGGCGATGCATGTTCACGTTCGTTTGGAGGACTTCTTCTTCAGAAGCCTTCAGTTGTTTATCTCTACATTGTGAGCCGTAATGGCTGGAGCTCATAACATGTACTTGACTTTAAAGTGCTCTATTTTTACAGCGGTTCTTTCTTCATGAACTTACCTTTCTTCAAGGTTCTGCTTACTTTGGAGGGCTTATACCATAAGGACACTCGTGGTTATAGTGTCGAATTTCCCACATACGGCATCAATCTGTTGATCTAAAAAAATGCACCGCTGATGTGGCCAACAGTCCCAGGCCTCTCACGTCTATGCAAGCTTTATTCCTGCACACTAGGACAAATCATTAGTCACACGTGGCCTTCTCCGGAGGGGGTAGAGTTGGCCACGTGCACTCGACGGTCAAGTCAGTTGGAGAAATAACAATATGAGTGTGGGAAAGCTTTAAATTTGATCCTCCATTGTAAAAAGGGGATCGACTTTGGGGAGAAATAAGTAAAAGATGGGGAGTGGGATTATAGTTTTAAGAATCTGAACTTGCATTATCTTTGGATGACATTTATACTTGGCCAAGACTAATGAAGGTCGTTGGATGACACTGCACGTAGCCTCATCCAAGTGAATCATCTTTCTTATCGTAGACATCAATCAATCATAGCCATAAATGCTAATACTATTTTTGTATCCATAAGGCCTAGCTTACGCCCTGGGACTTTGACCAAATAGGCTGGTGGTGGCGATGGGGTAGTGAATTGTCTTGTCAATTATAAAATTTGTTTAAGATCCTTCTTCACCACATCATCCCGGACTAGCCTTCCCATGGGGTCCGCGCAAATAGGGTCGATTCAGCTTTGTTTCACGAAGGGAGAGCGGGTCGTCCACACTCGAGGGTTAGTTCAGCTTCGCCTCATGTTAGTGAACAGGATGTGGGATCGCCGAACCGTTTGCCACGTTGGAGGGTTGAGGCCACATGGGAGCCCTTGTATTGAGAGGCGTAA